CAGACCTCTCCTGTCTCACCTGCTGTTCCCCTCAGCAGTGTACTTTGTCAATCTGCCTACTCTGCTCCCCATTCTGTCTATGGTGGATTCTTTCACCTCCCCTGAACCTGTACCCCACATTCTGTGTATATAAATAAATCTTTAAAAAAAATTGTTAAAAGAAAAAAGGTGCTGGTATAAAGTGGTGATGGCTTGGTAATTGAAGCTTTCTTGGTCACATGATTTACTGGTGCCTTCTAGATCTTCTTGGCCTTTAATATATATATACTCATATATATATGAGTATATAGAGAGTATATACTTGGCCTCTGGCAGGACCCTGTTACTAGCTACTTGACTTGTAGACTTTGGTAGGAAAGGTCAAGTGGAAGTTCTTGCAACCGCCTCCCTTTCCCGTCTCCTAGAGTAAACCAAAGCAATACCATTTCCCAGGAAGTATTTCAGAGATTAGAGCTATTCAGATTTAAACAGTGTAGTCCCATTTCCACTAATTCACTGATTCCCTTCCAAAAGTCACTGGTTGAGGTCAGTAATAATGTGTTGCCATAAACTTGGTCAGATGCAGCCTGTCGCAGCTGCGATGACAGACGGGCATCTTCACTAGAGCATATCGACACGGCCTTGGCAAGCGCGGCCCGGTCCCAATCAGTGGAGAAGCCTGAAAGCAATTTTCAAGGAGTCATACATGTTCACTTTCCTGTCCCAGGGCTATGCTAACTCTCATGTTCTCTATTATACATTGTATAATATTCTCTAGCATAGCATAGTCCATATGACTTATCATCCTGACATGCCACAGATTATAACACTACTGATATTCTGCTAACTAGACCTGGTTAGTAGAGCTAGAAATAAAAATGACAACTGTTGTGGCAGGATCATGATGAGGGACACAGCATTCCTGGAACAAGTTAGCAAGACAAGACTCTGGTACTTGAGCACAAGTTTTTGAGTCATTTATTGAAAGCATACAGGGTAGTAAAAGCTGATCATGCAACAATGGTATGAGGAATAGTGTCCAGGGGATGGGTTTGGAATGGGGGACAAAGTTTTACAAGGGACAGGAAAGGGGACATCGTGACCATGTCTCAAGAGACGTTTGCGTCAGCAAAGTGTGATGTTATCACAGGCAGAGTTATCCCAAGACTGCCATGGAGATAGTCACACAAACAGGTCAACAGTGGCCTCGGCATTCCCGGGCCTGCCTTGTGATGCTAGTTATATTCCATAGGTAGTCAAGGAATGTTCGGCTGTGACTTGTAGACAGCAAATAGGTCACAGGTGCCCATGAGTGGCCAGCTCATAGGAACCCATAACAACAGCTTTAGCTACCTTGTTAGATATATGTGAGAGATAAACTCCACCATCTACTTTATTTTGGGTTATGCAGACAGCAGTCTTGGGTGTTAGGAAGAAAAATCCTGGGGAGCAGAAGTGGAGAAAAGGACAGTGAGGCAGAGAGGAACCAAGAAGCATTACGCATGTGTGATTGCTGGTGTTGAGACCACCTTCTTGAGCAGCCTTATAAATGTCCCAGCATGGCGCAGCCAGACTAGGTAGATGCATTTCTGGTTCACATTAGCTGAACACTTGCTTGCTGGGTGTTATTTCTACTGCCTGTCCAGGAAGCAGCAGGGAAGCCCTGGAGCTGGAAGCCAGAGGTGTTCAATGTGCATTTGGAGCAAGAGGCTGTGAGGGGCCCTGGAGACTGTGGGGCTCTCACCACAGTCTGAGAAAGGAGGAAGAGGCTTGGCTCTCAGGCTTGGCTCAGAGCTGACGTTGGGCAGCGCTGACTCCTCGGAGCTTCAGATGTGCTGTGCTGCGGACAGAGCAGGCTGCCAGCGCCAGAGCAAGCACACAGGGCTTGGAAGCAGGTGCCGGCAGTCAGAAGGCCAGGCCATAGTGCACATGCATGCGGGAGCTGGCGGTGGGGTGGGGAGCCCCGGCACTGACAGTGGCCCCAGAAGGTGTCTGCCCCAACCCTCTGCTTTTTTTTTTTTTTCCTCTTAGAGGGTCAAATTTTCAAATTCTCTTTTCTTGTGTGAAGTAAATCAGCTCTTCTCAGCCTGTGTTTGTAAACACATGTGGGTGCTCATCAGCTCCCTGGAGGGCAGCTGTAGGTTTTTTCTCAGTGTTACCATCCCTACACAGGACTTCCCTGCCAGAGAAGCAAAGGAAAATGTGGCTGTATCCTATACATCCTGGTCTGGTCAATAGCATCACAGTCAAATCCACCAGTCAAAAGGCAGTTCTGCTTCCATCTGTCAGGTAACATACAAAACTAATGTGGGGGGGGCAGTTTTATTTCTCAATGGCACCTAAGTTTTCATTTTTCTCCTTGTAGATAGCCTTTATTTATATAGTAAACATGTAGAAATAGGTTCTTCCATGTTTCTTGAAACACGGGAGCATGTGCTCTCTCTATACATATCACATTTTTATCTATTCTGCTTTTCCATAGAAGAAAGGCAGACTGCATGTGCGATGCTAAATGGCAAATGACTCTTAGCTCGGTGTTGGAGAACAATGGGGAGTGGTGGGGACCACAGCAAACAGAGAACAGAGACAACTGAAGGCAGTAGCCCGTTTCAGTGCCAGTCAATTGTCGATACAGCGAATTCGGGTTCCATGTTAGACGAAGAAATAAAAACATGAGACAAGGGCAGGATTTGCCCAAACTCACTCCATAGCTAGGGTCAGAACTGAACTGGAATCTCAGCTCCTGACCCCCCAGGTCAGAGCTGGCGCAAGTCCCATGCCTCCAGTGCAGTTTTGCTGTCGGGTTAAGGAGTGGGTCTAATGTCTTGTTTGTGGGCCTGGGTGAGTCAGTGGTGAAGAGTGTGGCGTTTGGCACCTGTCACGCATGCTTTAAACCTCGGTTGCTGGACATGCTCTAAACCCCAGTCTCTTCATGAAGGAAGGACCATTGCAGTATATCCCCTTTCCAGGGCTGCTGGGATTAAATGAGATCACTCAAGTCCGGCATGCCTGCTTCACCTTCTCCTCTGTGGGGCTATAATGCGAGCATGCCCGGGTTGGGGAAGGTCACTGTCCATTCAGGCATATGGCTAAAGACAGTTTGGAGCCCTCAGCGGATTATTTTTAATATGTAATTGTTGATTTTTACATCATTTTGTGCCATCTTAGTTGCAATCCCTGTGGGCTTCCCATCACCAAATCACCCATGTAATATCATCATAGTCCAGTGCACTATTTTGATCCCATTCCCCACTCCACCCCCGTAAAATGTCTCTGGTATATGGCTATTCATTATTATTATTATTTTCTCCTCTGGTCCTTTAAACTCCTGCTATCTGGAAATCATCTGTATTTTTCCTTTTCTTTCTGGCTTATTTTCTAAACATGATCCTTTCCAGCTCCATCCATGTTGCTGCAAAAGGCATCAGTTTATCTTTTTGATAGCTGAGTAATATTCCATTGTATATATGTACCACATCTTTTTAATCCAGTCATCTACTTTTGGGCATTTGGGTTAATTCCATGTCTTTCCTCAGTGGATTTTTACAGGCAAAATTGGAGCAGGAAATCATGTACACAGCTACCCCAGGCAGGGATACCAGGTGCTACTGGGAGGCTGAGGAGGCAGCGGAGGCCCCCAGGCCCTCACAAATCTTTGCACGTTCTCTCATCTCTTGCTGGTGGTCTTTCCCTTCTCAGTGTTCTGGTCTCGTGGTCCTCCTCACTGTTGCTGCTGCCTCTAGCATCTTCTCTGGGCACAGGTGTGAGCATTCATACAAGTGCATGCCCCATGCTCTCTGGGCCCACGATCATAGGCACAAGTGATCCACATCTACACCCCTTATCCCGGCATCTTTGCTGTCATCAAGGAGGTGCCAGCCATCGATGCTGGTGGTGGGAGGGCATAAAAAAGCCTGATTTAACTTCATTTACCTGACAAGGCCAACTCAAATGGCCTTTTCACTTGGCTTGTGGTTTGCCCACAGATGAAAATCAGGAACTGACCACAAAGCCACAGCATATGGTGGCGACTTAGTGCATCAGGAAGAGAGGCCCTTGGGGCTTTCCTGCCTCAGAACTGTCCACGTCTCAGCCAACCTCAGTGTCATCTTCCCTGGCACAAACCTCTTGAACCTCTGTGCCTGGAGGTAATCATAATCAGGTACCACTTGAGGGTTTAGCCAATGCCAGGCCTTGTGGAGGCTCCATACAGGTGGGGCAGCCTGCTGGTAGCCCTCCCACCCACCACGCACCATTGGAGGCTTGGAGGCTTGAAGGCTGAGTCTGGGTCATTTCCAGCCCATCACCCAGTGAGCGCCTGGAGTGTCCCCCTCAGACTGTTCCTTCAATCAGGCAGTGTTCATGGCATCACCTACCGCCAGATCCTATTTTAGGCAGAGAACAAAACAAATATAAACTCCTGCCTTCACATTCTAGTTGTAGTTGGAGATCACATTCTATAAATATACAAATATAAACAAAAAAAATATAAACTCCTGCCCTCACATTCTAGTTGTGGTTGGAGGCTGTAGTCAAAAGATAGAGAGGAAAACTTGGAAAATTAGAGTCTTTATAAGACTGTATTAGGGTTACCTTTATTGCATTGAGTTAGAGCATCACTTACACCCTCAAAACCGGTCTCCTCCTGGGCGGTGAGGTAAGTGCAGAGTCGGGCTCTCAGTGGGTGAGCTCCATTCCCCTGGGTACACAGGGAATGCGCCCCATCTCTCTGAGCCTCAGTTTTTTCAGCCATTTAGGAAAATCACAGGGATTCGAGCCTCCCTGGGCCCTCGTGGAGAATTCCTTTGGCTCCTGAAAGGAGAGTTTTGCAGGACGGCGGCCCCCGACAGGCCAGCCAGACTAGCAGGAGGGAGGGAGCTGTGTCCCGCTGATTCGCAGGAGCTCTGACGGGGGGCTTTTCTGCAAGGTTACTTAAGGCCACCCAGGGTGGAAGTCGCTGCCAGTAGCCAGCGTCTTTCGAGGGTGGAAAGGGGCGTGGGGAGGTCGTCTGCGCGGCGAGGATGCCCGAGGCGAGTGCGCCGCCGCTGCCTGAAGAGGGGCGCGGCGCGGCGCGCGGGGGAGCGCAGGGCGAGGCGGAGTCGAGTTGCAGAGCTCAGGGTGACTCAGGGCTCGGGTCCGGCGCGGGGATCGTGCCCGCGTCCGCGCTGCCCGGCGCCGCCTTTGTTCCAGCAGGAAGGGCGAGAGGCGGCCGGCGCGCAGGGCTCCTCCACTCTCCGTCCGGCCGGCCGCGCCGCGCCTCGGGGGCTCCGCAGACCCGCGAGATGGCGCCAAGGTAGGACCCGCATCCCCGCGCGCGGCTCCTCAGCCCAGTCGTCCGCCTCACCTTCTCTCCCTCCGCCACTTTTTCCAGGAGGAACGGGCAGTGTTGGCGCCTGCTGTTGACGCTGTTGGTCCCCGCGCTGCTCCCCACTGGCACCCGGACCCGCGCCACTGGTAAGCGACCCGGCCTGAGGGGGCACCGGCTGCCTGCGCGCCCCGGGGACGTCGGCGCGGCGGTGGGCGCGGCTGCGGTGCGCTCCTCATTCCTGGACTTAAAAGGGAGTCGGCGCCGCGCGGCGTGCGCGGCGGGCTAGCTCGAGGCTTCCCCCAGCGGCGCTGGGTTTGGGGGCGAAAGGGAGTCGCTGGGCTGTGGGGTCGGGGGAAGCTCCTCTGGGCGCCTGAGCTGGGCGCGGCTCCTCAGTCTTGGACAGAGAAAAACTTTTTCAGTGCAGTGACAGCAGCCAGCGACTCCTCGCGAGTAGTTAGCTGCTCACCCGGCGCCCGTGCTCAGGCTGTGCGTCCTGGCTGGCTGTCTGCAGGGACGAGGCTTGTGCCTTCCCTGTACACAGGTGCAGAAGCGTGACCACCCGCAGAGACCCCTGGCGTCTTTGCCTCTCCAGAAATAACGGGGCCGGCCGAGTTGCCCTATGCCTACCTTAGCGCACAGTTATGTAGGGAGTCGCAGCCCGGGTGATCAGGAGCACCCTGAGTGATGAAAAGAGCGGGGCAGTTGGCTGAAGAGTCAGAAAAGATTTTGGTTAATATGTCGTCAGTCTGCCTGGGTTTGGATTGTGTCTGGTTGTGTGGTCTCGGGCACTCCTCTGAGCCTAAGTTTTATTAATTGAAAAAAGGAGACTCATTCACCTTTTTTCCTAGCCCACGTTGTGAAGATGAATGGACAGAGTTAGAAATAACGTGGTTTTCACACCCTGGCACGTAGTAGGCGCACAGTAAGTGATGAAGGCGTTCTCATGGAAATGAGCATTGAGGTGACAGGCAGAGACAAGCAGCCAGACTGAAAGGCAGGTCTGGAATCCAGAGGTCTAGACTCAGTCCTTTCCCTGTGCAATTCTGCAGAGAATGACATTCTCCAAACAGTAGTCTCTGATGGCTTTTGAACTTAGGAGATTAATGGAGTCCCCACAGAATAAGTACGGGAAGGGAAGAAGGGGTTACCACCTCTGTCCCTCTCAGGAAGCAGGGTTGGGTGGGTGTTTTGGTTAACTCTTTGTGGCTTAAGGAAGTCTGGGAAGCCCAAGTCATTGTCCTTGGAAGCAAGATCCAAATTCCATGACAGCTTTCTCTGCCAGAGTCTGGACTGGCATTTCTTGCACATCAAATGGCAACTGGAACTTAGTTTTGGCTTCTTGGCATCATAGCTCATGGAACATTGCAATTTTGCATGTGATATAGGGTACTGCCAACTCGGTGGCAGAGGACAGCATTGGGCTCTGTGTTTTTTTTTTTTTGTGGATTTTGCTGCACCTCTCAACCTCTAGCCCCCCCCCCCCAAAAAAAAGAAAAAGCGTTCTGGGGAAAGAAATTTTGGTATTTCTTTCTCTTCCTGTGTTTGTAGGCTGGATTCCTTGATATCAGGTTAGAGCTGTTGTGAAATCCAAAGTCCCAAGGAAGCTCAGTCCTGAGTGTATCCTACCTCCTGACATGTCATAGCGCTCTGTTCCCAACATGGATTCTTGTGCCCCTACTGGGTTAGGACTGAGCTGGTAAAGTTAGGGTCATTGGAACACCCTCTATGTTAGATGGTAAGGAAGCTGTTAGATGATAAGGAGGTTGTTGTAGAAGTAGGGGTGGGTGCCACAGGAATGAATTCCTGAGAATAAAGCACTGATAAATGCAGATAATTTACTCTTCTTTGAATGTCTTTGCTGTGAAATGTAACATCCATTCAGAAAAGCACACATAATTAGTATAATCTCAGAGCCAATATCCATGGGGCAAATCAAGAAAAAGCATTACCCCCCAGAAGCTACCTTGTACCCCTTATTTACCGTTGGAGGTAATCATCATCTTGATCCTTAAAGTGATAGCTTCTTTATTTTTAGAAAATTGCTTAATTGCCAAAGACTTTTTTTTTAAAGATTTATTTATTTGTGCATACAGAACTGGGGTACAGGCCAGAGGCTCAGGGGTGGCGAGAGGCTTCACCAGAGACAGAGTGGGGAGCAGAACAGGCAGATTGACAAAGTACACTGCTGAGGGGAGCAGCGGGCGGGTCAGGAGAGGTCTGTCGCGTCATGTGGTCACCTCTGGGGCAGGCGGGGATCGAACTCATGCGGAAGTGGCTTTAGCTTCTCGGTGCTGTGCTTTAACCCGCTGCACCACCAGGGAGGGCCACCAAAGACTTTTAAGTCAAGTTCCATCTCACCTAACTTTGAACTTTATATGATAGAGGATATATTCTTTGGTGTGTGGCTTCTTTTTACTAGATAATTAAGTTTTTATATGATAGAGGATATATTCTTTGGTGTGTGGCTTCTTTTACTAGATAATTAAGTTTTTATATGATAGAGGATATATTCTTTGGTGTGTGGCTTCTTTTACTAGATAATTAAGTTTTTGAGATTCACTTATGTTGTTGCATGTGACTGTGGTTCAGTCATTTGTATAGCTGTATAATATTCCACTACATTAATCTATTATTTAGCCATATATACCATTTTTCCATTTTTCTCAAACACCATTTGGGTGGTTTCCATTTTTTGCTGGCATAGTATTGTGGCTCTGGATTTATTTGTACATGTTTCTTGGTGCACATGTGCACACATTTCTGTAGGTTCTAGATCTGGGACTGCAGCCCTGGTAATGGGATACAAATTCGGCAGCTGAGCAGACAATGCAGCACAGTTTCCATTGTGGTTGCTGAGGTACATGGGCACCAGCCTGGTTTAAGAATGCCCCTTCCTTCACATCTGAACAGCACCAGGCTCAACTTCTAATGGATGTGTGCTGGAGTCTTTCTTTATATGTCTACTGAAGTCTTAATTTATGTCTTCCTGATTATTAAGTTGACCACCTTTTCATACACTTTTGGACATTCAGATATCCTGACTTACTTGTTTTATTTACATGAAATTCATGTGACCTAAAACTAACCATTTTTGTAATTTAGTAGCATTTAGTACATTCAAATGTTGTACAACCATCATCTCTATGTAGTTCCAAAAATTTTTATTGCTTCAAAGAGAACCATATTTCCTTTAAGCAGCTACTCCCCATTTAACACATCCCCATTCCACCAATCTCTGATAACCTTTGCATTGCTTTCTGTTGCTATGTGTTTACCTATTCTGGGTATTTTGTATAGATGGAATCGTACACTTGTGACTTTTTATGTCAGGCTTTATTCACTTTGTGTAATGTTTTTTCACTTCATCCATGTGGAATGTGTCAGTTCTTCGTTGCTTTTCACGGCTGACTAATATTCCATTCTGTGACTATACCAGTTTATCCATTTTTCTGTCGGTAGGGATATTTGGGTTGTTTCCACCTTTTGGCTAGTTTGAGTAGTGCTCTTATGAACATTTGGGTACAGGGATTTGTTTGAGTACTTGTTTTTAATTATTTTGGGTGTATGTCTGGAAATGGAATTGCTGGTTCATAGAGTAATTCCACGGTTAAGGTTTTGAAGAACTTCCAAACTACTTTCCACACTGGCTGCACCATTTTACATTCCTACCAGCTCTAATTTTTCCATCTCTGTCAACACTGGTTATTTTCTTTTTTTTATTTATAGCATTTTAGTGGGTGTGAAGTGGTTTCTCTCTCTGGTTTTGATTGTATTCCCTGATGACTAAATAACATTGATCATATTTTCATGTGCTCACTTTTACATCTTCTTTGGAGAATTCTGAATATTAACCTATATGTATATTTCTCCCTCTTTCCCATGAAAGCACCTTGAACCTGTGCGTCATGCCTCATCTTTCCAGTGGGCTTTGGTTGTTTTGTCATTGGGATAAACAGTGTCCTTGGAAACACTTGAAATAAATGGCCTTTGTTATCTTTTTGGATTATTTCCTTTCACTATATTCCTCTAAATAGACTCACTCATCAAAACAATAGAGCTACTTAGATAGTTCTTATATATTTAGTTGGCTCCTTCTAAGATTCAGATTCGGTCATGCCACCCCCTAGTCAACTGCTTTGCTGGGCTCCCATTGTACCTAGGATGGAAACTTGCCCCAGAGAGTACTTTGTGGTCTGGCCAATGTCTGCCTCGCAGCCTCCATTCACATGGAACCCCTTTTGACTTGGGCTCACACCAAACCACTGACCAGTTTCTGAAAGAGATGCAGCTGCCCCACCATGGTTTTTTGCAGAGGCTGACCCCTTTCAGGGAATGCTTTTCCTTTCTCCACCTGGCAACTCCCGTTCCTCCCTTAAGACTCCTCTCTGGGAAGGCCTCCAACTCTGCCAGACATGTTGAGTGTCTCTCCTCTGGGTTAAGCCCAAATCACCCACTCAGACTGGACCATGACCATTGATTACTCATCAGCCTTTCTCCTACTAAGTGGGAAGTTCTGGGAGGCAGGCATTGCCTCTCTTCCAATTCTGAATCCCAGGATTTAGTGCGGTCTGACAGAAGTTAGCACTGGGCAAACTCCTTGCATCAAAGAAGGAATGAATGGGTAGATACAGTTGTGGTCTACTAGAATGAGCTGACTTACCATGTCCTCTGCGGTGAAAGTCATCCTGATTTTGTTACAACTCTGCCAATTGTCTTTTCATTCATAATTTTAATAACTAGTTCATCTGGAATTGACACAAACATTACTATTTTTTGAAAAGATTTATTTATGCATGCATGCAAGAATTGGGACAGAGGTACAGGCCAGAGGTGTAGGGGGTGAGAGAGTGACAGAGTGGGGAGCAGAACAGACTGAAACACACTGTTGAGGGGAGCAATGGATAAGACAGGAGAGGTCTGCTGTGCCATGAGTCAGCTTCGTGGTTGGGGCTCAAACTTGTGCTGCAGTGGCTGCCAACAGCTTGATAGTGCTATGTTTTTTTGTTTTTGTTTTTAAAGATTTATTTTATTATTTATTCATACAGAACTGGGGTACAGGCCAGAGATGTGGAGGGTGAGAGGATTCACCAGGGACAGAGTGGGGAGCAGAACAGGCAGATCAACGAAGTACACTGCTGAGGGGAGC